TTTTCTTCCTCGCCTGCTTCAAAGGCGGAACCCACAGGTATACGAACACTCGATGCCGCTCCTGTCGGTTGCGGCAACGATTATTTTTTCTTCTAATTACGACCGAAGCTCGCATAGATACCGCCATTGCCGCCTCCGCCGCCGCCGGCGGCATCTGCTGGCTTAGGAGCGTGCCGAAACGAAGCTACGGCCGGGCACCACCTTGTGAGAAATGGCCCGCGCACCAGTTCGCCATAATCTCTCTGGCGTGTGTCATATGGCACAAGATTGCATGTGTCGTTGTTTTCGAGCTAGTTTACTTCGTTGTCAGTAAGAATTCAAATTATATATATATATATATATATATATATATATATATATATATATATATATATATATATAATGAGATCTAACAGACAATAATGCCAAGGAATGTATAGGACCTGCTCACGGCTGGTTATTCTTTCAACCACTTTGCTTTCTTCTGATTTACATTCCATTTGTTCTAATAACTTCCCCTATACATTCCTTGGTATTATTGTCTGTTAGATCTCATTATTATTGTGTCAAAACACGAGACAACGAGCCCTTAGGTATACACTTCTTTCCCTTATATATATATATATATATATATATATATATATATATATATATATATATGTATATATAAGAAGTTAGTATGAAAGTATGAAAGCTAGCGATGACAGAGAAAGGAAGAGGAAGGAGGAAAGTCAGGAAGGTGAGTGTCAGGTTTGCTATCCTACGCTCGGGGATAGGGATTAAGGAAACTTGTAAAACAAAGGTGGCGAGGGTTATAGAGGCGACGTTTCAACAAGCCGGGAGCAATAACTTGAGGCTAGCAGATAATCACAGGCTTGGTCTCTGCCAGTGGCAAGTCATTTTTTCACCCACTTTTGTTTTTTCACATTTCGATTACAATTATAACTACTAAGAACATTCCTTTCACTTCACATCTCAGCTTGGTCTCTTAGTTTTCCCCCGCCGCGACGGTCTAGTGGCTAAGGTACTCGGCTGCTGACCCGCAGGTCGCGGGATCGAATCCCGGCTGCGGTGGCTGCATTTTTGATGGAGGCGAAAATGCTGTAGGCCCGCATGCTTAGATTTGGGCGCACGTTAAAGAACCCCGGGTGGTCGAAATTTCCAGAGCCCTCCACTACGGCGTCTCTCATAATGATATGGTGGTTCTGGGACGTTAAACCCCACATATCAATCAATCTTAGTTCTCAATATTATTGCGTCCAACAAAGGAAAGGGACCTTTAAGCTTACACTTCTTTCTTTTATAAGCAGCGAGGCTGTTGAAAACAAACAAAGTAGGACATGGGCTTGGGACCAGGAGCATTACAATAACCGCCGGTTCAATGGCGAATCCTTCGTAGTGGGTACGAGCCACGGTGCGAGAATACTTTAAGGTGAGCGAACGCCGGGACACTTGGCTGACCGATAATGTTCTGCTTCCCTAGGAATCTGAAAAATGGTACTGCAAACTTTGCCCCGGCCTATCGGTCGGCTACCAGCTCGTGATAACATCACCTGCAACGTGGCGCCAGCAGGCAAGAAAGGGTGTTCCACACTCGCCGTAGTGGCTACTGGCAGCGCTGACTGATGCTGCCTGTTTAAAGGCACACATATACACTATAAAGTAGACGGAGAGATGACCGTCGTAGCAGCCCTGGTAGAGCGTCAAACGTGTTATTCGAAGGTCCAGGTTGGGTTCCAGCTGACCGGAAGTCATCTTGTCGTCGACTTTTCTTTTTTTAACATTTATGTTATATTAGTTAATAACATCTATACTTTTCTTGAAATATTACGATCACTTCAATGACGTCCCCTACAATTTCCTTGGGTTATTTCTCTGTTCTCACTTATGCTGTGTATAATCAAAGTAAGCGAACCCTTAAATCTACACTTCTTTCCTTTCATGGAGAGGCAGTGCTACACGGGTGACTCTCGCATGTATAGGCACCCGACAGTGGACCAGAGGGCACGACGAAGCTCTTTGGGCCGCCTCAGCATTGTTGGTACCGACCACCAAGGATACTAAGAAAATGGAACGCTCGCTGAGCACAGTGACATGCTGAAGGGCCAGTGCCCTTTTTGGCACGTTTCCAAAGAACTATTCCTGGGCGCTTACATAATCAGCCGTGACCGCTTGCTCAAAACTAAAAAAGAAAATGATACGCACGTGCAAGTTTGGTTTTGCTGCGTCTACTCGCTAGGCTACGCATTGGAAGACTCGGTTTTATGCACCTACCCGCTAGGCTGTGTATTCTGGCGCTACCATCAGATCTAGTAAACTGCATTGCCGGGTGCCTATAAAAGTAGAGTCAAAAAACACTATTTCTTTAAGATTTTAGGCATTGCGATGAAGTACAAACTAGCTTTGCATGGGAGCCTTAGTTTACGGTGGTGTTCTCTGCATCTCACCTCCATCGAAAAGCGGCCACCGAGGTACATTAGGGTCGAACTCGGGCCCTGGATCTTACGAGCACGACACCTTAGCACCTAAGCTACGAAAAAAAGGAGAAAGTCGTTCTCAGATTTCGCCTAGTTATACCGCATTCGCGTGTATCTTTCCGGCACGCCTGTTCCTAACGCCATTCCCCTCCGTCCAGACCAACATGGGATGAAACGGCGCATGCTGCTAGCGCAACGCGATTCACATTGAAGAAAAAAAAACGAACCAAAACGATTGCCATCGCGGGAATAGAGTCGCCGCTAGAAGTGCGGAGAACGCGAGCAATTTCCACGGGGAAGGGATCGGCGGCGGGCCACACGGGAAACGCGCAACTTGTCGCGAGGAGAAGCCATTTGTTTGGATTGCCATGTCCGCCTGCCCATTTGCGTCTCCGTTGGCGCGGCGACCGTGCAGCTTCGCGCTTTACATACTGCAGACCACCGCTGCTCGACGTGTCGCGCTGCAGTGGCAGCCCAGAGAACACGCAGCCTGTGCCTGGGATTTCGAGCCCCGCGGTGAGGCATCGCCTAACAAGGGCTGCGGAAGAAGCGGCCAACACGAAAACTTCCACGCGCATTTGCGAAAAGGGCGTTTTGTTACTCCGCGTTTTATTTTCGTTTTGATACCTCAGTTCAGTTTGTTCTCTTCCAGGTTCAGCCGGGAGATACGTAGTGAGTGGGCACGATTTTGTCATTCTCCTGACGTTTTCAATATGCCAGCTATGATGCTTACATGCGCGCGCTGCATTTAAAGGAAGCATTGTGAAAATTAGCGTGAAGTGTTGGCGTAAGCATGAATCAGTTAGGATATGCGACGGACTTGAGGCCCCCTTAGACTATTATGGGGCCGGGAGAGGAGGGTGCAACCTCTGACCTCTCTTCCACCCACGTTGACGCGGTTGTGTATGCCTATAGACGTGTCTTCGTGGGCCATAGAATGAGCTCAGCAAACTATTATATCGTAACTAAAGCGCTGTGTGCATGTGGAAGTCTAAAAGGTTGTCAAAACGGAGGTAAAAAATATATAAATATTGAGTAGATGACATTGGCCAGAACTCTTGCTGGAAAATTAGAGCTACGACAAATACGTTGCACCCGACCGAATAATCGACGATTCTGACTATTCTTGATAAGCAAAGACAGAAGCAACAATCCCGTCGCGGAAATGAATTTGTGTGCCCTAAATAGCATGTTGAGCGCGTGCCGGTGGTTTATGTGAGGAGCTTAGGCTTGGTCACGTGTCGCGCAGCTGGCGACGAAAGTTCAGCCGTCGTGGTATGCTGGGTTGCCTAATTCGCATAATAGAAGCACACTGGTAATGGCGGCCCAGAAGTCGGCACGTGACACGCTCATTTCTACGCCAGATGTTCAGCTAAATGGAAAGAAGCAACTTTGTATGCCGACAATAAACCGGTCCCAGCGACTAGGCCGAGCGAAGAGGATTTGCTGAAAGTCAGATGACTTATTGGAGGAGAGTATTAATGATAACTAACAAACACTGCCAAAAAGTTTACTCTTATCTTCTTCATGTTGAAGAAGATGAATTTTGGCAAACCTGCGAAAGCTCCAGCACTTTGATACACACCAATGCACAAAGCACGCGTGTCGTCGTTTCCAACTTGTTTAACCGTATATTCAAAAGCAATGGCCACAAATATTATGGCTAGATAACCACGTTTCAAAAGACTGTCAGCGTTCATTTTTAAAAACGCGCGTTTGCAAAAAAATAAGCCATCACAAAGAAGAAATAATACGTTGCAAAATAAAGCCGAATAAAAAAGGAAAAAAAAACATGTGTTTACCATACGTTTGACAATGCCTATAAAAAGAGTGTTCATTAGAAAATAAGTTTCTCTCAACTCAGGCTTGCTCAAGGTTATTGAAAAGTGAGAACATATCTCTACACATTCAACTAACTTCTTGCTATGCCCCTTTTGAAGCAAATTTTTTTTTCCTTTGTGGTCGTGGTGAGCTGGCGCACTGACTTCAAGGACACTTTTGCATTCGTATTTCATTTTTTCATGCACAACTAACAGGGATTTTTTTTTCTCTCGTAGAACAAAAGGAGCTTCTATCATTTCTCGATCTTTTTGTTTTGAGGATACGTAATTTACTAACAAATCTGAAATTGCATTCCTCATTATTGCCTGTTCAAATTGCGAGGTTAATTAGCTAGACAGCTACCTTCCTTGTCGGTTGTTTTGAACGATGAATTGATATGTGGGGTTTCACGTCCCAAAACCACCATATGATTATGAAAGACGCCGTAGTGGAGGACTTAGGAAATTTCGACCACCTGGGGTTCTTTAACGTGCACCCAAATCTGAGCACACGGGCATACAACATTTACGCCTTAACCGGAAACGCAGCCGCCGCAGCCGGGATTTGATCCCGCGACCTGCGGGTCAGCAGCCAAGTACCTTAGCCACTAGACCACCGTGGCAGGGCAATGGCTTGGGGAGTGTAAATGAATCAAGGAGAAGGGTGCAAGGGAACACACTTTCGGCAAATGACAAGAGGACAAAGACGAGGAGCCCGTCTCACCAGGATGACGTAGACGACCTGGAGCCGGGCTGGGACGGCTCGCTCTGGGACAGGCTGCTGACTCGCTTGGGCGACTGCGTGGCCACGTGCACCGGTTCGGCGCTCTCGTGGCTCTTGGCGGCCATGCGCTGGCGGCACAGGTCCTGCACGTGGCACAAGCCCGTAACTCGTCAGGCCTCGTGGCAGCGACTCGGGACAGAACGTGGTAGCAGAGATTCGGGTCTAAGCTCGCGGTAGAGTCGCAACACACTTACGGCGGGGACTCGGCGTAATGACACGAAACAAATACCTAATGCAAATACTCGCAGACGATGTTTAAAGCATTGACTCACAGCAAAGACACGCGACGTACCTCAAAACAGTATTCAGGGTGAGGACTCTAGCGATAATTTAAGTCAAAGATTCATCGCAATAGCTTCATTCGGAAACACACAGTAGAGACTTGCATCATACAGCCAGGACTCAGGGTGAAGCAAAAACTCGAGGCAAAAACTCACAGCAAGAACAGATAATAGAACAAATTCTGAGAAATACACTGAATGCCGAAATGTGAGCAATATTGAAAGGTCCTGTTTTGTCATAATTGTCCGCTCATTGCAAATATGTCTGAGTTTGGTCCACTTGTGCCGTGTCTATATACAGTGTGCGTTCAGATGCATGCGTGTGTGTGTATACAGCTTGCACGAGGCCATATATAAGGAAATGTGAGCCTTACTTAAGCCTCGTCTGTGTTACTACCTAATTCGGCTCTGACTTCAAACCGGTGTAGTATTTCAGTATTTCGGGCGGTTTATGAACAGTATCAGAGTCAAGAAAAAAATTGTTGCAGTTTCTCTTGGAATTAGGAACCGAGGCGGCAAAAACGACCGTTATATTTCATCGCATTACTCTAGTGCTTCAACGCGGTTGACGTTGCTGCTGTATGGACAGCAGTCCTGTATGGCGTTCTACAACTCATCTCATGCGAGAAATTGTGGATTCAGCGTACACGCTAACAACGGGTATGAAGCGACCGATGGTTGGCAACTGAGCGCTTTTTCTCGCTTCTCAATAACCACGCCTAGCTTTTACGAGTTCGCTCAGCAGGCCTGAGTGTCGGTGTTTCACGGTACAGCAGGGCTTCAGAGCCTGACCTCGATCAAAGCCGATCAGCCCGAATAGGCCGTCCTGCAACTGATTAAACTGCTAGCCTGAAGTCATGTTATACAATACATGGTCAATATGAAATTATGTAGGCTCATGTTTTTTTCCCTCTCTGCTTCATTCTAACATTGCGCTCACGGTGCATGTAGGGTACCAAACCAGACAAACTCCAGCAGCCTCCCTGCATTCTCTTCAATTACCCTCTCCACACGTAGCGGCCATTACAGAAAAGATTGACGATGCTACAGCTAGCCGCCTTTATACGCTGAGCGCACGTGTTAAGAATTGAAGTTTTCCCGGAGAAAGGCATTTTCGAGTGAGTGGGGTTCGCGCGCTGCAATCGCAGCCATATACGCCGAAATTATGCGCGATATAAACGGTATATAAACAACGCGCGCTATGCGTGAGATTCAAATTAGGGGACGCTATGGAGTACGTGGTAGAAGAAACAGTGTGGATCTATATAGCGTACATAACCATGCCGCCATTTTTCGCGAAAGTCCTGCGGGCAAAACGAGTTACTAAAGAGCGGAAAACGCCCCTGATGAAGAGTGATCTGTGCCGGATCACTCCGGCTGCCTCGCCTCTCTTTCCCCATATATGGAACGCGTGGGAAAACGAACATTAGCATAGCCGGCCCAGCGTTTCGGGCTAGTACAAGGAGACAAATAAACCGGAAAGTGAGCGCCGGCAAGTTGTATTGTTTTTTTTTCTTTTCTTCTTGGTTTACATTGTTTCCATTGCATGACAGGATATTATACGCTCCGCTTGAGGCAACTTCTTTCGGCGATCGATCAATTTTGTGGAAAGAGTTCGGGAAGTTTTTAGTCGATCGCTGGTTCTCCACTTTAGGTGATGCATTTATGAAAGAAGCTGAAAAAAAGGACGTTATGAAGTCGCCAAATATTCAAGTTACAGTATTATACCAAGAGCTAAGCGCTTCCAGTTTCGGATAACGAACCATTTATCTGTAACAATCTGCAAGACGTCATGCAAGATCAGTTGAATCAGGAAAGCTGAGCTCTTTTCATGTTTGATGTAGTGTGAGGTCTTTTGACTGTCTGATTCGTGTTAAATATAGGTTAGGTGAAAATAATAATTTACTAAATTAGTGTTAAATAATCATTTTTGGCGACACTGATGTTCACTTAACTGTCTTGACTGGCACTAGCCTGCAGCGTTTGATGCGGCGAATGGGAGCTTTAACAAGCTGCCACTCCCTCAGATCAGAGAAGGTAAAAAATTGGAAGAACGCTCGTAATCGCACCTATGATAAATACACGGGAAGACGTGCACCAGAAGTGACGTCTGTCCCTCAACAGAGACAACAGAAACACATTGCGCACAAAACGTATCGCTTGCCTTGAAACTCGACGCGGAGAGACTTCGCAGCAAATTCTGAAATCATCGAGGAAGAAAAAAACAGCACCATATGAAGTTTCACAGTCGGCGACTTGGGCGACGGAGTTACGGTACGCTATAGCGTGGAACACAACTCCTTTAGGTAAGTATCCACACACTTCAATAGAATGCAAAAAAAAAAAACACTAGAAAGACTGGGTGCGAGACGGCGAAGAATGGCCCCACAAAACACTACAGATAAAACAGCACTGGAGTTCCACCGGCACCGTATGCGTTACACACACACACAGGGGCGCGCGTCAAGAGAATGAAAATGCTTAAGACAATATAGAGTTTGTGCTGACGCACACACTGACGGCGACGCGAGTCGGCCATGGCACACGTCAGCTGGCGACGCGTAAACGTCGGAACGGGGACCTAGAAGAAGTGACGCGAACTTATCGTGCCGCAGAACAAGGGACTGCCCCCCCACCGCACGAACCATTGCGTACGCTGCGGAGCGAGCGGCATCAGCGGCACGTCGTCAAGCCGGTGGCTAGGGAACTCGGCGCGAGCGGCGGCGGACGCGTATACGAGCGCGCCGTCGGATACGAGTGAACGGAAACGGAAGAGAAGCGAAAAGAAGGGGCGTGTCGACGACGACGACAAAAGCGACGCACTTTCGCAAGCGACGGAAGAGATGACGCCTATACGGTCCGCGGCTTATGTGCTGCGGATGATGTCGCGCCTTCTTTTGGTGAAACGCGTCAGCTTCGATAGCGAGGCTGCCACTGGCAGGCGCAGTTGCGGTGATGCAACTGCCCCTCTTCTTCGTCTCTACTTTGTTTTGTTTCTCTTTCTCTCTCTCTCACACATTCACACCACCCGGAGAATCGAGCTCTGCGGTTTTATCTCAGCACCACACGTCGTAGGGACACGATATAACCGGAGAGGCCAATGACCTCAAACAGTTCTTCGTATGCAGCTGCGTCACTGTGTAGCACGTGAGATATTTCAATCTCTTTGTTTTTATTGAAGCAGGTATAAACAGATATCTATCCATCTGACCCGGACGATCCAAGTGGCAAAGCCCTCGCGCTGCATCTTTTCATTTCCCTTGATTATGCTAAACGGCATTGATATGTTATGCTACGTGGCAACCTAAGCGGAAAAAAAGGAAAAAAAAGCTAAAGAAATAGAAATTGATATGCTAGAATTATTAAAGACTTTTATGCTTAAAAAAAGGCTGAGAACCAATGCAGCCGAAGCTCGAACATGCGTTATTTTATACGTTGGGGCTGCTCTGACCTGGCCGACCAGTTAGCATTTATTACCAGGTTGGACGGTCCACTGGGGCCCTTCACCATAGCTTCCTCCATAATTTTTTTTCCATAAAATAAATCTGTTCCGTTCTCTTCTGCGTCCCGCACCCTCGTATGCACTGTCTCTTCTCACTGTAAGACATTTCCATGGTTGCTAAACGAAAAACAAAAAAGCAGTCTCATGCGTTACACGTGATCCCTGTATTTCATCGCAGCTTATTTACACCCAGTCATCTTCTTTGGTGCTGGTCTGCAAATGCGTCATAGTCGTAAGGACTTAATCGCACGGCGTTGTTAATTGGTGTTCTGCGCTATAAAGCGGGAAACCGTTGGTGTCGATCTGCGAACGTGATCCTCTTTACTAATGTACCTGATGCCCTTGCGGGCACTTCCCCTTCATTTGCCATGCGACAGAATCCGCACGAGACAATTAGAGTAATTTCGAGCTATGTGTGCGCGTGAGAACCTTACAAGATCAAAGATAGATTGACTTGTTAAAAGCAGTGCTTGGGTGATTCGGTGGAGCTGTGGTTGTGCTAACGACGCGTTAAAATAAAGTACACAAAGACAATAGAAGCTCATTTGTACCATAAAGTTCTCTCCTAGCTGCCTCTCTGATTTATACGCTGCGTTACTTGAACAAGTTACATATTGAAGTTCTCACTACACGTGTTAACAATCAGCGTAACACCTTGAGCCACATGGTGCAGGTGTGAAGAAACTACCAGGACGTACCAGAGAAAGAGAGAGAAACCGAGAAATAGAGAGGAAAGGCAGGGAAGTTCACGGCATCACCATCACCAGACAATAACGTGCAGAAAGCAGCGGAACCAGAGGAAGAACTAGAACGCCAGTGCGGAAGCTCGTCTTGTGATTCATAAAACCGGATATTGTTAGTCAAAAGGGCTTAGGCGGCGAGCTACCTGGATTGAGGAGGCCAGTCTCCTTAGGGCTCAAGTAGAAGAAGACTAGTTAAGTAATGAACTTCCCATCTATGGCTCTCTTCCGAAACTAGACTATAACGAAAAGAGTGGGACCAAACATGAAAGAAGCAGATCGAAATTAGGAAATTTTGTGTTTTATTTGTAAACCCCACGTTCTCAAAGCGTTCCCTGGTGTGTACACAGTGTTTCGATCTCAGGTTATATGCTTTTCTTTTTCTTTTTCGCTGAGAGGGAGAAAACAAACATATGTCAGCAGAGTTAAGAAAGCCTTCCTCGCAAAGCGCACGCTGTCATTTCCTTACAGATGACTCCGCGACACACGCAATACTAACGTATACATAGTGGAAGCCCCTTCTACTCTATTGCTTCTATATAGGCATACGCTAACATATT